GTACAAAAGACTCTGAACTAAAGAATCGGATCCCAGGACTTTCCGAAAAGCCGCCAGGTGGTCCCTCTCGTCAGCCTGCCTTAACCCCTCCCACCCCACCCCCCACCCCCTGCAGCTTCCATGCCGATTTTGGTTCTCTCTCAGCACAGCCCACTCCCCCAGCTCTTGACAGAACTGGGAAAACCCCTGGCCTGTCGTCCTCCCTAGCTGCCCGATTCAGTCCCCTGTGCCATTTGACAGGCGTGTCCCAGAAAAGCACAAGCAGTGATCCAAGAAAACTCCGTGTCTGAAAGGAGCCTCAGAACTGTGGGCAGTAACTTGTGCTTCAGCCTGCGTGCAGGTCTGGTGCGGACGTTCCAGGCGTCCAGAGCTGCCGTTGGAAATGCTTTAGTGCAGTTTCTACTTTCATGAATCGAAGAAAACAAGTGCCCCATCGAGATCACAAGTTCTGCGGGGAGTCCTGTCTTTGAGCTGTTACCAAGATAGATGGAGCGTTGGTACCCAGGTGCTGGGGCAGCATTTTTTTTTGTATAAATGCTTTGTTTATCGAGCAGCAAACACACCAGGGAAGGTTTTTCAAGGGCAGGTTCTCTGTGGACTCTCACAAGGATCAGAGACTTGGTTGGCCTGGTGTGCACAGCGCACAATGAGCTGAGCCCCTCGGTGGGAGGGCTCGGAAATGAGAGAGGTTTTCCTCCAGCAACTGCGTGCTTGAGGGGGGTGTTGATTTGTTTCTCAGGAGGTAAACCGGCATTACTTAGTGAAATCCAGGTTATCATCCGTGTATGTACGTCAAGACAAATTTACTGAAACAGGACGTCTGGCTGAAGGATACCCGCTTTCATCGTAAACCATTTCTGCAGATACTTGATTTATGAACACACTCAGGAGCAGTGTGTTTTCCATCTTTTCACAGTGAAATTCTCACAACATCGGTGTGTTTCCTGCAGCGGTGGGAGGGGGCCTTCACCTACCCGTAGTTCTTGATACGTTTTTTACAGTGCAGTTCAAGCCTTCGCGCCTGTGTGACGGATTTGCACACTTCCCGGAGTGTCAGCTCTGGGTTTGTGGAAACACACGTGTGAGCGTGTGTGGTCGTTCTGAATCCACAGCCGTCGCAACGCTCGGTGGTTTGTTATTTGTTGACACGTCCTGTCTTCTCTGTAAGGCCGTGGGTTCCCTCGGAGCAGGAGCCATGTCTGTGTCCCATCCCAGTGCCCGCCACCCAATTCCAGGCTCATCGAAAAGGACCGAGGGTTTCACAATGAACAAGACACAGTTCTCCCTTCAAGGATTCTTTCCAAGACACTGTTAGAAATTCTTCTGCCTTCAGATTTCTCTTTGTCATTGAAGAGTTATGGAATGTAATGGAGAGAGAGGAAGCTGGAATGGTTCTTGGTGTGTGGTCTAAGTCTCCTGTGGCCATTTGACAATTCAGTTTTATGAAGAAATTTTAAAATCTTTACGCACTCGTTCCTAGAAAAGTCATTCATAGATTTGGCTGCCATGCCAAATAGCAGTGATTGTTGAATCGCTTCTAACTATATTCCCCAATGTGGCTACAATTCTGAGAGTACCTATTTTGAAAAAAATAAAACAAGCATTATAATTAGATAAATAGTTCATCTATCTGTATTTCATATTTTCCTTTATTCTTACCCTATTCATATCAAGATGTGCTTTTATTTCCTTTGAAGCTACTTATAGCTTTTTTCCCCTTTGCACCCTTTACTCTAGAAGCCTTTGGATTTTGGTTTTTTTCCTTGATAATCTGTCTCTTTTTTGCCATGCATTTCCATGGTTGTCAAAGGTACTTGTCAAAACTTTGAAAATTAACTGAATTTTCTTCTACTCTTCTGGATTTGGAGGATGAGTTTCCTGGTGCCCTTGCTATGACCTCTAATAGGATCTCCAGTTCACTTGATCTTGTGGATGTTAATTACTGCACAACAGCGCTGTAATTGACGTTCATAGAAATGACCTTGAGATAGCAAGATGGTATTAAGTCATTCTAAGGGTCTCACTTGACTCATGCACTACTTTCCTGTGGGAAATTTCTAATCTGCCTTAGAAATGGTTCATGCCCCCAGCATCCTACCTTCTAACAGCTAACACACATGTGGAGAGGTATAACACAACACAACATGCCTGGATAGCGTGACGGCACCCACCGGAAAAGATAGGAGGTCCAAGTAATCATTTTCTGCTAGGATGGGCTGGGCTGTTTTCGTGAAAGATTTGACTGGAATTTGAGTTGAACGTTGAGACAGAAGTAATTTTAGGAAGACAAGGGGGGCAAAGACAGATCGTTCTCAGGAAAGTCTGAAGGACACAGCGGAAAGGAAAGCAGCCCGTTGGCTGCATCCAGAAGCCACGCAAGGTCATACCTGTTGTGTCTCTGGGAAAGGAGGGGAACATTTGATGTGTGGGGACTTTGTTAGCTAGTCTAAAGAAGATATTGAATCGTGGATGCCATAGGAATTTATCGATTTAAAAAATAGGGTGGTGAGTGATCAAAGCAGCACAGGAGGCGCAGCAGGGTAGCGGCATGCAGCAGGGATTAGATGAGAATGGATGAAGGCCAAGTTCCCAGTATGAGGGTGGCTGCCACAGCCCAGGTGTGAGGTCACCCGGGCCTGGGCCAGGTTCCTGTCGGAAGCATGCTGTTGTGAGGGATGAGGATATGCGTTTCAAAGAGGAAGAGGCACCGATTTGAAAGGAAGGATGATTATGCGGAGGGTGGGCAGAGGGGCGTGGATGGTAGAGCATCCCAGTAGAAGTTTCTAGCACTAGGTTCAGAGTGTGGGACTACTGCTCAAACCACGGCACTAGAAAGGGGCCTCTTTCCCTCCACACTGACTTTGCAGGCATAGTGACGGGAAGAAATGCTGTTAGGAAAACATTTTCCTTTTTCTTTCTAACTAGTCATTGTTCAGCTCTTCCGAAGAAAGCAAAGACCTGGGTTTCTTTTTAAATAAGTAATATGGAGGGGCCATGTAGCTTGAAGGTTCTGGTAGTAGAATACTAATTAACCCCTAGGAAATTACTAGCAATGCTCTCTTGATGCCAAATAAATTTTCAGTGATGGTTAGAGAAACTCTGCAGTGGAAAATGGTTTATCCGAAGTTCATATTCTAAATCCTTTCATTCTTACACAGGACCCAGCCCTCTGGTTCCTCTGATTTATCCTTGGCTTTCTATGAATAGAGCATGAATGGCATCTCTGAGGGAGGTGCTGGGAGGTGCTTCTGTTGATGCAATTAATATTACTCTTATTATTTAACCTCTCGTGTTAAAACAGTAGTTGCTTTTATTTGTCTAAATGCCCTGAATTAGGATGCTAATTTAGTCAAACGGTTTGGGTGGGCTTATCTCAAGTTATAATGCACAGCCTCCCTCCTTCCATCCCCCCACGTTTTTTTAAGTCATGCCCACTGAACCAATTTTCAGTGGTTATAAGCAGTCAGGTATTACTTCCTGTTGAATTAGCAGTGGCTGAGGCTGTGAGTCTGTGCAACCCTGCAATCCACTAATGTGATATTTACTGAGGAGACATCGGTCTGGAGAAAGGTAGTCAATATAAATCAGTGTTTACAAAGTGTGATTAACTCTGAAATATTTCATCAATGCCATGGTCCCAGGCAGACTCTATGCTAATTACTAGAATCGGCACAGGTTTCAGGGGAGTTGGACGGACCCTGGGCAGTGCAGACGGGGAACAGCAAAATTGCAATTATGCTCCGACTGTCTCCGATGACAATTTATGCATTTGGTGTGATGACCTCCCCCCTTCCCAAGAGGGCAATAAACAGAATGCATTTTCATTAAGATACTAATGCACTTAATCACAAGGGGAAAGGGCTGGGAAGGGAGGGAAGACCTTCCAGCCTTGTGTGACGGAGCGGATGGGGAGAGAGGCTTCTTTTTAAAAATTTTTAATTATTGATTTGTGAGAGAAAGAAGAAGAAGGAGAAAGAGAGAGATTTGTTTATCCATGTTTATTCATTCATTGGTTGCCTCTTGTATGTGCCCTGACATGAGATCAAATCCACAACCTTGGTGTAGTGGGGCAACACTCTAACCGACTGAGCTACCCGGCTGGGGCCAAAACACTTTGGTTTGAAGGCAGGTTGTTTACAAAGGTCTAGGCAGACCAAGGGCACATACCACACGCTGCCATTGTGACTAACTGAAAAAGAAAAAAAATCAAGTTAAAGTTTCCATTTTCTTCTGGTTACATATCATTTCAAATGTGTAGGTACTACTGTGAGTGATATAAACTCTGATAGTAAAAATGCAATTTCAAAGCAGTTTATTCTTACTTATAGCACTTTAATGGGGCTGGAATGTTTGGATTTCATTATGCAAATAGTGTAACAAGCATGATGATGACAAATGATGGTGAGGAGGAGGAAGATGACTATGATTTACCAATAAGAAGCATTTACCGAGCACTAAGTTGTTTTGTAAAACCTGTCAGTGTGACCGCAAGAAGCCGGTAACTTCAGCCACGGCCCCCTCGGAGCTGCCCGCGGCCCCGCATTAGCCGGCAGATTATTTATCAACATGAAGTTTCTGTCTGAACGACAGTAAGCCTGGTGCATCCCAGCATAGTCGCCAAAAGAAGTCCAGGCTTGATGATACAAGAAGACGGTTTTGATGCTTGTGGTTTTTGTGGGAATGATCTGCTTTGAAATGTCTTTTGGATCCTAAGACCCTGGAAGACCAGGCTTTTGCCCGAGTGCACAGGGCATCCTGATTTAAAAGCTAATTTTAAGCAGATCCTTGTGAAGAGCTGCGCCGTTCAATGCACCGTCTGTGCTTGTCACGGAGCATCCAGCCTCGTGACACTGGTGACTTCCTCAGGAAGCCCATGCGTCTTTTTTTTTTTTTTTTTTTTTGAAGGAAGGGGGCAAGAAGCACATGGCACTGCATTGGGGATGCTGATATTTCCTGGGTCTTGCCCATCTAACACCTGTTCTCCCCACCCTGTGTTTTAGGTAACATAGAATACAGCTGCCCGGCCACGAATGAATGTGAAATCACGAAGCGTCGACGTAAATCCTGCCAAGCCTGCCGCTTCATGAAGTGTCTAAAAGTGGGCATGCTGAAGGAAGGTAAGGCCACTCGGAGCCCTGTGCTCCTGTCTGGGAATGGGGTGGGGGGGCGCACAAGGAATTGCAGCAAGGTTAGAGAACCCGGGAAGAGGGGGGTCACAGTAAGTACCCTGCCTCTGATGCCAGAATGCTCCTTCTTCACCTGACCTTTCTGATACTTCCTCGCCAAGTGCTGACGTCAACAGGGAGGGACAAGGGTAAGGCACGGCTGATGTGCAGCTCAACTCACCAGGTACGTTCCGGAAGCTCTGGTTCTTCTCGTCCTTTCAATTTCCAAAAGGCAGAGAGTGAACAACAACCAGGAGGCCCCCGCTACTGTCTTCCTGCCTTTCTTCTCATTACTCGGCTCACAAGAGAGAATTTTCTCCATCTTTATTGAGGCAGAGTTGACAAAGCATATATTTAACATGCATAAGTCAACATTTTGATATATATGTATTTTGTAAAATAATTTCTACAATGTAGCTGATTAACATACCCATCACTTCATATAGTTCCCATTTTCTTTTTCCTAATTAATCTTAGATTTATGGTGTTCTTTATTCTCGTCTTTGGGATTTATTCTCTAGTATAAAGAGATTGTAATAATGACATTAAAGTTTTTTGCTCTCAGTCAGGGTTAGAGCAACAAGCATTCCGTGATAACCAGGGATGTGTATTCTGTGCTAAAACGGACTGACTGAGCTCACTCCAAGCCATTAGATTTTAGAATTCAGTCAACTTCCACCTGTATGAAAGTTCCTGAAATACTTGTATATCTCAGCATGTGGTGAAAGTAATGTTTTAGCTTAGAGAAAAAAATTGTTCTTTTCCTAGGAAGCCCTAGAGTTAGCTGGGGTTTTTTTTTTAGGATGTCTTCATCCACGTACATGCTGTTATAAAGGTGCTCTTTAAAGACATGCTGTGTGTAGGTTTTACTACTTCTCTCTCTTCAGAAAGTTTGCCACAATTTAAAATAAAGATGATTATTTCATGAAGGAACAACAGGAAAATATGGTCACTGAAATTTGAAAGAAAATTAGGTGGATTGAATATTTTCATGTGTAGCTTCTGTTGAGTCATAGAATTATCCTTGTTGCCAGGGTGAGCTCTATGAATTCGGGTATTTTGTTGTTAACTGGAGGTCACTGGTTTTTTAACTTCCAAACCCAAAGGAAGCCATGTTTGTTCCCAAGGAGCGAACCAGACTTCAGTTAGTATGGTTACCAGTCTCACTGTTTCCTGGTTTGGTCTCATTCTGAGATTTTTACTGTGAGCTGTGCAACAGGACGGTGGGCAGGTCAGATGGTGTTTGAGTATATGGAATTCAGGTGCTGTTTCTGCGCCTCTTGACCACTAAGAACTCACTCCATCCTTGACAGGACCAGAAACCCTCAAACTCTTCCTGCCTTCAGCTGTAAAAAAAAAAAAAAAAAAGGCTGTCAAATAAACAAGTATATGACTTTATCATTAAAGCTGACCCCAATACATTCCCATGTTAATAAACAAATTACCTGTTAGTGTGGTTTAATTTAGATATAAATATATATATTAACATGGTTTAATGTGTGTCTCTTTCACATACGAACACTTTTATATTAAATTACAAATTTTATTAACATCTATATTGGGAAGCATTTACTCAGAGAGAGGGGAGAAAGAATGGTACAAGGTGACCGGCATACGATGGTGGACAGGTAAAGACAGGTAACGATAGTGTTAACACTAGTGAAGAAAAATGAGGGTGGGAAATACATATTTTTTCATTTTCACTTTACAGCCTTCGGTCCTGGTAGTTTTCACAGTTAGCAATGTGTTTTACGTTTACAGTCAATTCACTAAATATTCCGTCAGTGTTTTCCATGCACCAGGCACTGTCTCAGCCCCAGAAACACGGCAGTGGAAAAGACAGACCCACTCACTCTTGCTAGAGAAAGTTTACATGAAAATGCCAAAAGCACAGTTCTGCAAAAGGAAATATATGGCTAAACACCCAACAACCACCCACCCACGGGACGAGGAATTTTCCTTTTAGATGGGACGGTCATGATAGCTTACCTTTTTTTGAGTTGAAAAGTATTATCTTAGTCATTGCCTTAAAACCAATAGCAGAGTAAGAAACAAAACATATTTCAATGCCGATAGTGGATGATTAATTTTCAGTTTTTATTATGCCACTTAGTTGAGCTATAGCAACTCAAAGCAAGATGATGCTCTTTTAAAAAGGTTTAATCAAGAGTTGGGAGTTGGGAATCATTATTTTCAGAAAGCAAATTAGAATTTTAAAACATGCTATAAAAGTAATATATCAATTAACAACGTTTGAAAATTGACAGATTCTAGATTTCGATTTTGTTTTCCAAAACAGGAGGACATTGGGATAGACCTCCATTTTCAGGTAGTTAGAAAATATTTTTGAAGAGCGTGATTTCGCTGCTATAATTGACTCAACTGTGTGCCTTTTCAGGCTTCAGGAGGAAGCAGAAAAAACTATTCTCCCCTAAATAAACTTCCCCACTGTGGTTTTTGAGCAGAAGCAGCCCTGAAGGGTGACCAAAGAGCTCTGGATTGTGTTTAATTAAACATTGTTGGTGAAAGTTAATGGGCCTGGTGCTTATCTCCAACTCACACCTCCTCAGATGCTGTTATCAAGCCTTTGGAGGGTCTCTTTTCAAGGAAATTCCTGCTGTGGCTGATACACTCATATCATAATTTATTTTCCTTTGCCCCTTCTGCCCACTTTGATGGGCAAACACCAGTTCTCTGAGTCCCTTCCCCCCAAGAGAAAGGACGGACTGGTTATGAGTAAATATGGAATGTTCTTTTTCTTTTGCACTTAAAAAAATGTAGCATTCCACCCTGCATATAAATGCACAGTTCTGTGTGGCCATCTCCTTGGCTCAAGACCTGAGACTGTCTTAAATGTATCTTTATGGATGGAGAGGGATTTCAGTCCCTTGCAGTATGTCAGGGATCATGCTGTAGTAAATCTATTCAAATGTAAACCTGTTCAATTCAATTACCAGTCCATAATGCAATTTGCCGCTATAACCCCCATGTTGACCACAGCGGTCCATACAGAGCCGATGGCGCGGCAGGGCTGGAAATTGACAGACAAAATCTATTTAAACAAAAAACAACATTAGTTCTGGAATCTGAGATGAAATCAGATTTCAACAGCTTTGATGGGAACCTCCATTCCTTTAACCGGTATTTTTATTCAGCTGGCCCGGTGCAGCTTCCGTACAGGGTTGCCTGAGGGAAATGAAGTTTTTATTAAGAGGGCGGTTTATAGAAAAATGAGACTTTCGTGCTTTTAAAAATAATGATCCTGAGTTTTATCCCTCACTGTTTCTGCTAACGATGTGGGGTGCAAAAGGGGAGCCGTGGCGTGGCGGGTGAACAACCCCAGTTCTATCGCATGGCACATAATTACGTTCTTACCAGATATGCCTCCTTGTGAGCCAGCAACAGGGTGGTATCAGAATGGATGCCATTTGATTATAGCCTTAGAATTTTTGAGTCCAAAATTTGCTACCAGTTGAAGCAATGAAACAGTGGTGTGGAGAATCCACAAAAGACCACGATATAACACAACTTTAAAACGTGCTCTTAAGCCCTAGCTGAGTAGCACAGTTGGTTGGAGGGTCAGCCTCATACACCAAAGTTGTGGGTTCGATCCTCCATTAGGGCACATAGAAGAAGCAACCCATGAATGCGTAAATAAGTGGAACAAATGGATGTTTTTCTTTCCCCCTTCTCTCTCCCTTCCTCTATTTCTTTAAACATCATTCTTTTTAGAAAAAAGAAGTACACTTAAAAAATGATTGTTCAAATCTGAATGGTCATACCGTTCTGCATCCTGAAGAATCCCGCACTTTTTTTTGTCCTTTTTTTGTTCTGGGCTGTACGTTGCTGGTGAGCCTCACAAATAATGGGCCGGCATCATTTTTTCGGCATTGTCCCATACTGTACGTCAGAAAAAGCCCATCTGTTACAAGATATCTGGTCTCAACATTCGCCTTTCATTTTTTGCAGGCATTGTTTATGTGAAGGGAAAAAGCAAGACCTAATCAAGGTGCTCCTATAAATCTGGTCAAGATTTATTTTTATTTTGATCGCTCCCCTTGGTTATTTAAAGGCATTTGCAGGGCTTACTGGTTTGGTTTTCTCTCTGTCAGTGGCAGAGAGAGACATTTTATGAAAGCAGTAATTATTGTATTTAGGTATGGAATCCACTGACCAGACAATGAAGAGCTTTTTGTTGTTTATGGTATGGGTGGTTTTCTCTTTGGCAACGCAAATATTTTTTTCACTCTCGCACATGGGAGCAAGGCACCCGCATTTATGCGCAATGTGATGTTCCTAAATGCCAGAGTATGGAGGACTAATTGAGTTAGTTCGTGCCCCAAAAGTGTGCTTTTCCATTTTGCCTTTAACAAAAAGGGTTCTTAACCTTCCTCATCTTTGGTGTCATCATCAGTAAAATGATGGTAGCAATAATAGTGTTTGCAAATAAACTGTCATGAATATCTAATAAGGTACTCTATGGTAAGTGTGCAGCATTTGTTATGGCTGGGGGTGAGGACCGGATGAACATTAGCTATCGTTGCCGGGGACACTAAGGGTCAAGTTTTAGGGTCAGGTGGACCTAGACTCAAGCTCTGGCTGTATCACCTCCTGGTTCTGAGGCAAGTTATATAACCCATAGGACTCACTTGCCTTCGCCTATTTATTTGTAAATATGGGACTGATGATAGAACGTACCTTGGGAGGTTTGGGCGAAAACCAATGGGGACGCAGGGTTTGGCCCTGTGAACTAGAATCCGGAGGTCATTTATCATCTTCACCTGGTGGACTAGCACAAGTTCATGCAATATCCATTATCCTTTGGCGGTCTCGGTGAACTTGGCACCCTTTCCAAACTGTTTATCGTAGCACATCAATAAGTAAAATTTGCTCAGAAACTTCACAAGGAAATTTAGTCTCTAATATCTGACTTAACATTAAGCTAAGAGACA